GGTCAATCATAAGGAAGAAGCTTCGTAGGCACATTTGACCCAGTTGAGATGGGACCTGCGACTTGGCCCTTTTCCCAAGATGCACTTTTACCCATGGGGACATAAGGATCTCAACATAGCACTGACATACATGGAACTTTACGTTCTTATACTTTACAAGATTTTGCTGGATCGTACAGAAGGCTATTACTTCCTTTATTTTACAACTACCACTGTTGCCTAGTAACTGTCCACTGCTTTAAGCTCTCATCCCTCCTCTGTGTGACATGCCTAGTTCACTTATACATAGCCATGCCAGTCATCATCATACTCACTTCTCACTCTCATGTGTAATGTCTCATTGCCGATATCAATACTTTGTCTTTAAGTGTTTGCTGATATCCGATATTAACCGATACCAGTGTAGGGACTGAAAATGGCATATTTTTTGTCTCTCAAAACAGTTAACTTATTACAAAATGTATCTTATTGTGTTATGTAACCGTTATGTATCCTGCAAGTAACTACTGAACAGCTTTGTATGAGTTGAAGTTCAAACATCATGATAAGTCCTGGGCCTACATCTGTCAGTAAAGCAGACATGTCAGACTCAGGCCCGGGGGCCAAATTTGGCCCGCAATATAATTATATTTGGCCTGCGAGATCATATCAAATATGTCTTAGAACTGTTCCACCTGCTACAGATAGACTATAGAGACATAATTGATTTAAAATGTTGTTATTATTTTATATTCTGCTTGTTTTGGATTCAATGTTTAAGCAAAACTATTCTTAAACATTAATTTTAATAAGAAAAGGTTTAATATTACATATCTTGAAAGAAGAGAAAACATGCAGATGTTGTTGAAATGTTTCAATAAATATTTAGTTTGGCCACCGACTTAGTCCCAGTTTTTAATTTTGGCCTCTGTGAATTTGAGTTTGCCAAATACTTTTCTTAGTAGACATGTTATTGTTTTGTCTGGAATGTTTCACAGTATGGTATCGAGACCAAACCAGACCAAGTTACAGGTCAGATCTGTGGAGAGGTGACCCCGCTCACAGTCAGAAAGCCTGTTTTTCGAGGCATTTTTGAGCTATAAAACCACCTGTAATTGAATAAATGTAAGGTAGTGCTGTTTAATGCCATACTGTGGAACATCCTAGGCAGAGCAATGAATGACATATCCAGAGGAACTCGGAAATCTGCAATGAAAAAGTGACATAGTAAACTTTTAAGGTTAGAAGTAGGATCAGGAATTATGCTGAACATTACTATTTGCTGTAATTACATATGCGGATTATGAAATTAAGTCACTTTTTTCAGCTCAAATGTTATTACATGACAACAACAAATACCCCAACTCTTCCCAGTTTCACCAAAAAAAACCCCAAAAAAATCAAAAACTATACACACGACAAATATTAAGCCTCAAAATATATCAGGCTAGTGGAATTTGCATGTGTTTGTTGCCTCTGGGTGCTCTGGTTTACACTACCACTAAAATCATATACAATAGACTCCACTTTGGGGTCATGAAAAAAGATTCTTACTCTCAGCGGGACTCTCCTGGTTAAATAAAGGTCAATAAACAATTTACGAGCTTTGATGCCAGCAGCTATTGCCTTATTTAAACTGCTTTATGTCGGAGTGTGACAGTGGGTCCTTGAGCTTCTGCTACAGCGGTGCATTTTCTCCTCTTAAAAATGAAGGACTGGGCTTTTATTTGTTTCCATGCATGTACTTTCTTTTCTTTCTTTTAGGATTTTGTGGAATACTTACAAAACAGTGTGGTATTATTTATGTTATTAGGTTCTTTTTTCAGACCAAAGGTTTGTTTTCATACCTGACAGTTTGGACTGCTCTCTAGCGCTCTTCCTCAGAGTGGTCATGTGATGTTGCTGATGCTGTGACGTGTCCGTTCAGCTGATTTAAACAGGTTTTGGCGCCGTCGTCCTACCAGTGGAGGCAGGACGACAGCGCCATCTGCAGTTCGACTTCCTCAGGACAGTATCCCAGGTGTGTGAGAGTAAAAAAGCCCCCTCGTCCCGGTTTATAGTCCCGTGGGCATGTTTCCGTATTTCGATTGCCTCTTTAATCCAGCGACGGTGTTTGTTTTCCTCTGTCCCAATGATGTTTGCTCCGTCCCGGTCCGTAATGTGGTTCTTTCTTTTACAGTTTTACAGGCCGATTTGAGTTGTTCCTGTTCTGCTTTGTGTTTTGTTGCTCGTGTGCACGCCTTCGCTGTTTCCTTCTCCCATTCTATAAACCGGGACGAGGCTTTTTTACTCTCACACACCTGGGATACTGTCCTGAGGAAGTCGGACTGCAGATGGCGCTGTCGTCCTGCCTCCACCGGTAGGAAGACAGCGCCAAAACCTGTATAAATCAGCTGACCTTATACGTCACAGCAACATCATGTGACCACTCTGAGGAAGACGCTAGTGAGCAGTCCAAACTGTCAGGTATGAAAACAAACCTTTGGTCTGAAAAAAGAACCTAATAACATAAATTATCGGAAGACCAAATGAACCTCATCGGACTAGTGTGGCATTATTGTTCTATAGGTGCAGTCATTAAATTACTTGTGCTCTTATTGCAAAAAAACAAACTTGAAAAAAACTCATATTCGTACTGTGAGTGGGTTGCCTCTGCACAGATCTGATATGTAACTGCTTGTCAACAAGTTAATGCCATACAGTGGAACATTCATTTACATAGTCCAACTTAAATGCATAAAATAGAAGCTTTGTTGTGACTGTCAGAATTCTCTTTTGTGTGTGATCGTGAGTGGTGCTGTGATTTTCAAATAAATATTCTGGTGCTTTAGTTTGTTTGATGGAGCAAAATTAGTTCATTTCAACCAAAAAATGTCACTTTGAAATTCGTATTTTTTGTTGATTTGAAGCTGTTTATGAAAGATTATTGTTGAAAAGAATGTTTTATGAATATCACTTCCAACCAGGAACTACACCAAAGCAAATGACAAAAACTCAAATCGCCAGGATGCATTTCTGTCGCACCAGCCAGCCCGTAATTACCAACTCCACCGGAGGGATTTTGCAATTACAGTTAGAAAATTTGAAATGAAAATTCAGATGAGAACTGCATCAACTTCAAATGGGATACTTCTACTTGTAACAATGGCAAGAGGGCTCAATCATGTGTACTTTTACTTCATTAACGGCACAAAAACACTCTTTTTGAGTGCCTTTTTCTTTACTTGAGTGACTTTTGAAAGAGATTTTTCTAGCAGCATACTTTTATTCCTGTTGAGTGATATTTGTATTTAAGTAACAGTACTCTTACTTGAGTAAAAGTTTTGGTTAGTAAGTCTACATGTGACAAAAGCTTTATGTGAATAATGGGGTGTAACAATATCCAAGTCTCATAATACGATATAGTCACGGTATGAACGATATTTATTGCGATATCGTGGGAAAGCTCATGATATGGTGGGGAGGCTCACGATTAGGGATGTAACAATATCCAAATCTCTTTGTACAATATTTTCACTATACACATCTCATGGTACAATATTTATTGTGATATTTTGTGAAGGTTGCGAACAAAACTGTTAATATGCTACGTTTTCCTCTTAAAATGCCTTGACAAGACTTAATCCAAAGAATTTAAAAGTGCTTAGAACTGTTATTTCTTCTTGTAGTCTACACTGAAATGGAGCAAAGGATCATGGTCTATGTAGTTCCCTTCTTTCCCTCTAACTTTGACGATACGATATCATGATATTTCGTTTATTGTTACATCCCTAGTGAACAATATGAAATCATTTAAGCATTTGTGTTTCTTGCGCTCCTTCAGATACGATGGTCTCATTTTCTCATGCTTCGTAGATCTAATTACATTAACTTCAAATTATAAATATTAATATAATATTACATCCCGACATTTACTCATTTACTCTTTAAGTTACTCTTAATTGAGTAGCACTTTTTCCACCTCTGCGTATTTCTATGTGTGTGTGTCTTTGTGTACTTGTTCTGATATAGAGCAAAACCATTCAGGAACAGTCCAAATTTGTCCTATTTAGGTTTAGATTCTCTGATTTCTTTCATATCAATAACTTCACAAATGAAAGCTTCTAGAAACAACTTCTCACATGTTCATTGTCCATTATACATTGTCAGAAAAAGAACAAGAGCCTTTGTGCAAGAAACTATAAATCACCATGCTGCCTTGGAGAGTATATTTAAAATGAGCCTGTGAACAGACTACACTGTCTTTATTCATTTCCTTCACACGTTAGTAACTTTTGTAGCCATAGCTGCTGTGGGACAGACTGATGGAAGCAAAGCTGCCAATTTGCGCCACTGACTCCTTCAACCACCAACAATCACTCACGTACAACACAACAAGGCGGGTGAAGTGCCTTGCCTAAGGACAAGGCAGCACAACTTGGTGTGAGCAGGAATCGATCCTCTGACCTTCAGATTATTGGATTGATACTAGAGATCGACAGATATGCATTTTTCCATGGTCGATGCCAATATTGATTTAGAATCCAAAGGAACCAATGATCTCTGCTGATATTTCTGGGCCGATTTAGATAATTTTCCCCAAATTATCAAAGCATAATTTCGTACAAATTCATTCACAGCTTTCTTTTTCTACCAGCTGTGTAGAGTTTAGTGTTGTCACGTTTTTACTTATCCTTTTTTGGATAACATTTTTTCCTGCATATTTAGGCAGCTGTTTTGGCCAACAAAATATTGGCGTCATCTGGAGGCCAGTAGCTGATACGTTAAAAAGGGCAAATATCAGTCCAATATGTCAGCCAAACTATAAATCGATCTATCTCTAATTGATAATAAAAACATAAATAAATAAATAAACAGAACAAACTTGGACCTTTTTCTGAAGAGTTTTAGAATGATCTTGTTCACGTATCAAACATTTTTTAGCACCAAAGTGGAGTTTGAAATGTTATCGTCACGACAAACAATTTTCTTTCTTTCTTTTTTTATTTTGCTAACATCTTATTATTTCTTGTGTCTTTCAGATCGGCTGGTTCCCCTCGACTTACGTGGACGAAGAGGGCGGCGCTCAGTAACCAACTCCACTTCAGGAACTCTATCTACTGTTCTACTCAGAGGAAATCACTCCACTCCAGGAATACCCGATGGAAAAACTAATGGAAAACCCAATGGAAAACCCCAATTGACTTTCGATGTTGCTTTTGCTGGATACTGTTTTTCAGTGACTGTCCCTCTCTCTTTCTTCTTATGCATCTGCGTCGCTCTCGTTTTTGTTCAAGATCTCCTGTCTCGACTCTTTCGGGAGAAGTGTGGCTAATTTCGCCGCACAAAATTTGGATAGCTTTACTTTGAAAAGGCTCCGTTTCGTTGCTATGGTGAAATAATTGTACAGTATAGATAATTTATTGAATAGAGTTTATTATCATGATTATTGTGAGGATTTTAGCCGCGGTCCAAAACGTGTTCCGAAAACAAAAAAACCTGCTTTTCTGATTTGTTGTCGAGAGATTTTTTGCCTTAGTTGTCATGGTGATGCCTTGTGGGGGCGGACACCGGGCGTTCTTGTTGGACTCCTGTATGCATGTGCCCACACACACACTCACACACTGACCAATGGACAGTACGGTGCCTTCGAGAAATGGTCGTCTCTCCAAACCTCAACATCAGCAGTGAACAAGAGCATCCTACAAATACTGGAGATAAACAGTTCAATGGACCAAGGGACTCTGAGGATTTTAAGAGGCACTATGTAACTTTTCTGGAGGGGGTCCACCACCTGCTTGCTTCCATGGAGATCTCCTTGTTTTATGTGGAATGCTTGGAAGGAATATTTGTTATTAAATTATGAATACATTTTTTGCTGTCAGCTGACTCGCCTTCCGACAGATCAGACCAGTTACTTGGCTTCACTTGTGTAATTCTATTCTATGGAACGGTGAAGTGATAAGAAGGTCATTTAATCAAACAGGTGGTGGACCCTCTAAGTTCAAGAGTGCGAGAGTAAGGAGAGCCTCCTTATGGGGAGATCTGGACTTCAGTAGATTTAGGTTCATGATAAGGAGCCCCCCCATAGCTGCTGGATTGGTCTACTGAGAAAGGATGGAGAAAACTGGAGAACCTGACCACCCAGACACATGTAGAATATGCAAATATAACAAATAATGAATTCATTTGAGCTGGGGTTTGGACTTTACTCGTGTAAAACTCGTGCCAGTTTTATTCTCTCTACTACCATGGATTTCAATGTACCGTATTTTCCGCACTATAGGGCGCTCTGGATTATAAAGTGCACTGTCTTTGAATGGTCTATTTTCAAATTTTTTTACATATAAACCTCACCGGACTATAAGGCACATTAAACGAAACACAACAGTTAGATAAGCCAGTCAAACTTTAACGCGTTCACAATAACTCTCAACTTTGTTCAATTGTAATGTGTAAAAAAAATACTGTCTGTCGCTAAATTGTTAGAGTATTCACAATAAGTCATAATAGTTCAATCAGTTGGGCGATTACGGCGTCCAGCACGCCCACATCCCTCTCGTCATTATCCGAGTCAGTGTGGTTACTGTTCCCTGACAGTTCAGTGATGATTCTGGTCTTGGTGAAAGCTCGGACCACAGTTGATACTGATCCTTAGCCCAGGTGTCCACGATCCATTGGCAGATTGTGGCGTAAGTCGCTCGGCGCTGTCTCCCTGTCTTGGTGAATGTGTGTTCTCCTTCTCTCATCCACAGCTCCCACGCAGCTCGCACTTTCACTTTATAATATCCTTGAGTTTAAAGTGGGCGTTGTAACCGTGTCTCTTGACAGGTGCATTTTGATATTAAAAGGAATCTTTTAAGGAGTATGTATTATTCCGCGATGCTCCTGACTACGGGAGCCGTAATGCTGCAAGTGGTGCGGCTTTGTAGTTTACTAAAGTCGTTCTAAGACACCCAATAAATTCATATATAAGGAGCTCTGGATTATAAAACACACAGTCCTTTTTTGATTAAATTAAAGGCTTTTAAGCGTGCCCTATAGTGCGGAAAATACGGTATCTACTTAATCACACATAGCACCTGTAAGACTCAAAAGAAGACAAACAAAAGGGTGGTCAGGTCTCTTTGCTACAACACTGCCAATGGCACATACTTGACACGAGGATCATGAGTTCAGGATTCGAGCTACAGCGTCTGTATTGATCTATGGATTATTCAGGATGTTACCAACTCCTTGTGCCATGATCAACGACTATAGCATGACAAACTACATTCTGTCAACTTACTCTCAGGGTTTTTCCATCAAATCCAACTGCTGAGCTAGATAGATCTTGGTCTGGAATAGCTAGCTGGAGCATTAGCTAAATTCTCGGATTTATGCTCGCAAATTCAACAACCAAAGTCAATTTTCAAATCTCCAAACCTTCAGAAGTCCCTTGGTCCATGTTTTGTGTGTTCAGTGCTACTCCACAACATTACGTCCACATCCATAGAACTTCGGTGAAGAAAACGCATTTGTGCCAACCGTATGGACTGAGCAAGCTGTTGGCCAAAAAACTCCAAAAAACTCCAAAAAAAAAAAAAAAAAAAAAAAAAGAACTACTGGACTTTTTAATTTTTTACAATAATTCCCACAGCTCACAGGAAAACATCGACGAAACCATCAACGCTTCACGCAAGACTCCACCACACTTTCTACTCTTACTGTTCAATGTTTAGTTTTTGCACAGAAAATTCATTTTTTGTATTTTTTTTTTGTTAAATGAAGCCAAATTGCCATGTCGTCTCGTCTGCATGGATTCCTCTCTGATGATTTTCTATGATTTTTGTACTTTTGCCTTATTTTGTGACAGGTGACGGGTCTTTATTTTGTTGCGTATTTTGTTTTTCATGTTTTTTTGTTTTGTTTTGTTTTAGTTTTTTTTGGTGCTGAAAAGACTGGCGAAATTACAGGCAGTCAGAAAATAAGAAGGAGCTGTTTATTCAGAATTCTCAAACTGTCACGGGGCATTGTGTTTTAAATAAGTGTTGCCAAAAAGTACTGCAAACTAATGAAATGTGATTTGGTTCGAATCAAAGTGTTGAAACAGACTGTAAAAGCGTTTGTTCCGATCCAGAAACGTTTTTTTGCGTTGCCACGTTCCACCAAAAATTAGTCGACCAGAAAAAATAAGTATGTCATTAACATACTAAAAGAAAAAGTTCCATGCATTTTCCCCAGTAGCAATATAAAGACACACTGAGTAACTTTTTTTTAACTGGACGTGATTGGTTTACCTGAAATATTCCACAGAGTGCTTTTAGCTATAAAACACATGCGTTGTTATTGTGTGCCATATCGCCTCTCCATAGATCTGATCTGTAACTTCGCCTTGGTTAACTAAAGATGTTTTTTTGGCACGTCAGGTTTTATTTCAGATGCCCTTCCAGTCACAATGTAATTTGTTGTTTTTAATTTATTGTGCTTTGTGTAACTTTTCTAGTGGAGAGTCTGTTAAAATTGAATTTCTCTCCAGTGACTAGGTCAGGAATCAGAATACACTAGACGGTTTGCAAAAAAACTCGGAAGTGCGAATTGGGCACCAGCCAATCAGCGAAGAGTCATACATTCTGTGTTGGCAACGGTTCCCGAGATCGAGGATTTAAAGCCCAAACAAAGAGAATGTTTGGTGAATTTTATTATGGGGAAAGACGTTATTGTCCTTCTTCCTACGGGATTTGAGAAATGCTTAATATACCAGTTAGTCCCGTTAGTGGTGCATTACATTTGTCACGACCAAAAAACAGCAACAGCGAACGAGTCTTAATACTGTGAGGTCAGACGGTTTCTACGAAGTGAAACTGTCTGATGAATCAGGCTACTGGCAAATGCTTTTCTCCATGGAATGTTTCACGCTATGGCATTAAACCTTTTTATTTTCATTGAGACCAAACTAGACTACAGTACAGGTCAGATTTGCGGAGAGGCGACGCCGCTCACAGTCAGACTGTTGTTTTGTCTAGGCATTTGTGAGCTATAAAACCACTTGTAATTGAATAAATGTAAGGTAGAGCTGTTTAACGTAGCACTGTGGAACATTCCAGGCAGAGCAATGACGTATCCGTAGCTACAAGCCGGTGATGGGACCCCTAGCTGAAAAGTTACACAATGCACCTTCAAGACAGAAATGGTGTCGAAAGAACCTGGTTACTGTAGTCAATTGGAAGGCCTGCTACATTTGAGGCTAGTGGTTCTTGTAACTCAACATTCCTAAAGGCAGCCACACACTACAGGAGAATTTGCCCGATTTTGGCTGCGATTCCTTCTCCGTGAGTTTTTGAAACTGCCGCGCTCCTCATTTGTGCTCCGTCACTGTGAGATCGTAACCACCAAACATCAGCAACGCTACGGTAACAGCCAATAAAACAAGACTTTATTCCTCACCTCTCGTAAAGTTGCAAATTTTAAGTGCAGCATTTCATCCACGCTATCCATAGAATTTGTCGTTCGCAAATAATGACCACAAAACAGCGCTGTGAATCCAATTTAAGGCGTTCTTTAAAAGTAAAAAGGCAAGAGTAGTTCCTCACGTGTGTGTTTACATCCACACAGTGCACGGATCGAGGTGAAGCTGGAGATTAGTGATCAAGACTCTACTTCCTGTGAACTGTGGAGTACTGCAGCACATTTCACAAACAATAATAACACAGTTTAACTTGTATCTAAACTAGAAGTGCAGAGGTCTGATCTTTTGAACACTTAAGAGTCTCAAAGCGAGTTTTTTTTTTTTTACTGTCGACAGGAAACAGCTGACTCGATCTCGCTCACAACTTTATATCCTGTGGTTTGCAGACATATTGCGCTGCAGTGTTTGCGATCGGAGATTTTAAATCTCATAAGATGGTCCTCGTGTCTGTGGTGTGCGCTTTTTTCGTTTAAAATTGTTAAAAACTGAAAAATCCTGTAGTGTGAAGCAGCCTTAAGATACGATAAGAGTCACTGGGGAAATTATAATTTACACTTAAACAAAATATAGCTGATCTCATATTCCAGATTCATGACATTTTTGGTGGAAAGTTGGCAAGGGCGTTGTAGGATCGGACTTGGACTTTGTAGGATTTCTAATGTAAGCAAGTTGACATTGTACTAAGACTTCATATAGGCTACTGTAAACTGCATTTGTGATCAGTTCTACACTTTGTATTTTAGCAACACTGTCCAAACTAAGGGAGGACTGCTAACTACACACTTCTACCTGCTTTTGATACCTTGCAGCTGATGTCTTCAACATTCCCTGCGGGGGTGTGGCTAACGGGAGGCACTGCTCTGTCTGAAGCTACTTAGACTTTAATGTGGTGAGCTTTGTTTGAACACAGTCTGAGAAAAGAACTGACAAAAGGTGCACTGATTTTGCACTGTTAAACAAGTCCCTCACACGGAACAAGCTAGTTAAAAAGTTTTTTTGTTAGTCACTCACCTTTTTGTTCAACATCGTAACTCCTCAACTGAACCATGACCGCTCGTATTCAACAAAAGCTTCTGAAAAAATTTGTTTTGATCCAGTTTCCAAACTCTGGCAGTGTTTGCTAATGCGCGCAATGTGTCACCATCGTCAAGGATAAACATTCCGCCATAGACATACGTGAAGTACCCCCCCAGCGTGATGTCACTGCAAAGTATCAATGTATTGCCAGTAAACTTGCCAGCACAATTATTGTTAAAAAAAAAAACCCAAAAAAATCAACAACTATGATTTTGAATTTAAAGTTCGCTGCCCCAAAACTACACAAGATACTACTAATGTACCACGGGACATGAACACACACACTCCCTGTACTCTGAGGGGGAGGGGCTAGGTGCAGTCTGTGTAATGGAAAACCACCCATTGCATGTGGATTTTGTTTTCATTTCAATTCCTCAGTACATCCTCCAAAAATGCATACTTAATCGTGTACATTTTTTAAATGGTTGAATATTTCCAAATGAGGTCTATCATGAAATAAATATTCATTTTGATTTAACAACTGCGTGTGTGTGTGTGTTTTTGTTCTTTTCACATGTGACTTAGGGGGAGATTGAGTGAAAATGTTGACAGCATGTACTTTATTCATTCACTGTTATAAATACATTAGAACACGTTTATTATATAGTACATACAATTGGAAATGGACAAATTTGTTCTATTCAAAAGAAACAGAAATCGCACACCAAAGTTCTTGTAGAGGTGCAAACGCAAAGAGCAGCAAGACAAAAGTGAAAAAAATACATAGCACACTCAGATGGCCAAAAGCTTTTTTATTTAAAAAGCTGTAGATTTTTGAAAATAAAAATAAAAAACAGCTGCATTATGTTAAAGTTGGATTCCTATAATATGGAATTCTACATTTTATACAATTTGAAATCTGAAAATTTGCTTTAAAAAGAAAAAAAAGAAAAAATGGTTCTGATTACCAGATCAGAAAAAAAAATCAGAACAGTAGCAAAAGAACAATTGTCACACCAAAAAATATAAAAAAATAAAACTACAAACATGTTTATGAATATGACTGTCTTGAAATAACCCCCTTGGAGTTTTAGAAATTTTCCAATTAAAATTTCAATTAAAATTTGAAAGTTTTGCTTTTGAGCCTTTTAGCCACAGTTTTGGACAAATGTCGGTGTTTTCCTTTGACCTTCCAATTTTAGTTTTCATTTGAGAGTAATACAAGACAACAACACATGCTCCCACAAAACCGTACAAAAGTATGTGTCACTTTTTTGTGCCTCTAAAATAGTGATTTAGACAGTTCTAAAAAGAACTGGATTTTACTGTGACAAATGGCCTTTTAGAGCTTTATTCATTTATTTTCATTCAGTAAAAATAAAGTGAACACAAAATTAATCTGTTTCATTCACTCAAATCAACCTGATTCCACAGAAACCTGATTCACACTGACCCCAGCCTGACCCGGGAGATCACTGAGGACGCATCGATTCATTTTGTTTAGTTTCCATAGCGATATCAATACTCTGACTTTAAAGGCGCACTATGTAACTTTCCTGTTGCCTGTCATCTTGTTGCTCTGCTTTGTATGACATTAAACAGCTCTACTTTACATTTATTCAATTACAGGTGGTTTTATAGCTCAAAAATATCAAGAAAAACACACATTCTCGCCTCTCCACAGATCTGACCTGTAACTTGACTTGGTTTGGTCTCCATGAAGATAGAAAGGTTCAATGCCAAACAGAGGTGGGGACTTGTAAGTCGTGACTTGGACTCAAGTCAGACTTGAGTGACTATTTTTAGCACTTGAGACTTGACTTGATAGAATGGACTAAGACTTGGGACTTGACTTGGATTTGAAGGTAAGTGACTTGGGACTTGACTCGGACTTGAGGCCTGTGACTTGAGAAGACTTGAGAAGCACTTTTAAATCTGAATTCTTTCTATTCTGACTGTAATGATTCACACTAAGATCTTGTCAATGACATTTAAAAAGGAAACATTAACTAAATTCATTTTTATGACTCTTATATAGTCTATAAATACTCACATATAAATATACCGTGACTTTTTAAGCACAGTTTAGTTTAGAATTCATATAAATTGCAAACATCTAAGCTATATTTGCTACTTTGGTTTAAAGACTTGAACTTGACTTGTATATATTATTTTAATGAGGGACAGCACACAATTTTTACATTAACCTTAACAGAAGAGATGCATTGTACCAGGTTGTAGGACCAGAACTAACTTCCACCTGTAGTTGCTGGGCAGGTTCTGTGATTTTAATTGCCCTTAGCTTATCAACTGTTCTTCTTGGAGATGGGGGAAACTGGAGTGCCCAGAGAAAACTCATCCAGACACATGGAGAAACATGCAAACTCCACACAAAAAGACCTGGGTGACCCAGGGATCAAACTCAGAATCTTCTTGCTGTGAGGCATAAGCGCTAGTCACTCAGCCACCATGCCGCCTTGGATGGTTTGGAGACGATCTGGACTTATGGGCCAGTGACGTGGGACTCGACGTGTGATACTTGATATGAACCGATACAGTTAACTTATTACACAAGAGTCCCAATTGTGTTAAGCTGTTTATCCTTCAAATAACTACAGAATAGTTATTTGTATGAATGAAATAAGCCTGACTTAAAAAAACTCACTCAGAAAGCCCCAGATGACCTGGGCATTGAACCTAAAACCTTCTGGCTGTGAGGCATAACTACTTACCACTCAGCCACCTTGGATGATGTAGTGACAACCTGGACGTATGGGCCAGTGACGTGAGACTCGACATGGACTTACCTGTATTTGACTTGGGACTTGACTCGGACTTGAGGTCAAAGACTTGAGACTTACCTGAGACTTGCAAAACAACGACTTGTCCCACCTCTGCTGTCAAACATTCTAAAGTAATAAGATCTTCATGAAGAAAAGTTACATAAGTGATACCTGATATGAACCGATACAGTTAACTTATTACACAAGAGTCCAGATTGTGTTATGCAACTGTTATTTATCCTTCAAACAACTACAGAATAATTATTTGTATAAATGAAATAAGCCTAACTAACAAACTTCACACAGAAAGGCCCGGGTGACCTGGGGATTGAACCCAAAACCTTCTTGCTGTGAGGCATAAATGCTAACCACTCTGCCACTGTGAAGCCTTACACAGTGTGGAGACGAGCTTGTAGCTCTTCCGGTCCAAGTCAAGTCCCATGTCTTAGTCCATTTATCACGTCAAGTCTCAAGTCCTAAAATAGTGACTCAAGTCTGAGTCCAAGTCACAACTTACAAGTCCCACCTCTCCACAACATACATATCATCAGTACCGTACTGAGGATTTTGGATATTTTTTGGATATCATTACATCCCTAATCGTGAGCCTCCCCATCATATCGTTCAGCTTTCCCACGATATCTCAGTAAATATCGTACCGTGAGGTTCATACTGTGATGATATTGTATCGTTACACCCCTAGTATCGGTACATCCCTAGAATTTACCCACTTTTTGCCAGAACAAGGACATAAGTTGTACTAGTATACCAGTCTTTCACAACCAGGCACACATGGACTTTTTAACACTTCCCAGAGACTTATAATTAAAAATGATGTTGAGTCCTATTATTTACTCCTAACATAATAATAGTTACATGTACAAACCCTTGGCTTTCTTTCAATTAGTTTCTTAATGAAGTCTGCTAAAAAATGTCTGCATAATCCCTCAGTCGTCTAGACCTAATCTAACCAGGCTGGTGTCACCTAGTGCCGCCGCTCAATTTCATTTCTCTCCAGCGACTAGGTCAGGAATTGGAATATACTAGACGGTTCGCAAAAACCCCGGACGTACGAGTTCGGGCACCAGCCAATCAGCGAAGAGTCGTACATTCTGTGTTAGCAAAGATTCCCGAGATCAAGGAAAAAAGCTGGAACAAAGAGAATGTTTGGTGAATTTTATCAAGGGGAAAAGACATTACTGTCCTTCTTCCTACGGGATTCTAAAAAAAGTACCCACCTGCCGTCGAGCGAACGAATCCTAATGCTGCCAGGTCAGACGGTTTCCACAAAGTGAAACCAGTCGATGAATCATTCTAGACCTAATCCATAGCAAAAGAAAAATGCTGTCTTTTTTTTTTCAATACAGTGAAGATGCTCAAGTTCAGGATCTTTTTTAATGAATATTTTTTAAATTTTTTTGTTACATTCCACACATGTTCACTCATAGTTTCGATGCCTTCCGTGAGAATCTACAACGTAAACAGAGACGCAAATAAAGACAAAACAAAAATGTAAAAATGTGGCTGAACTTTTGACTTGTAGTGTAATAAAAACAATAAAACAGAATCATAATAATTGACAAACTCATAAATTGTACCTGAGTTAGCCGGACAAACCTTGGTGACAAAAAATGTAACGACCCACTGCCTTATACCGCAGCAGCAGAACCTTCCAGCCTCTTCATCTCCTCCCAAAACTAACCATCGATATTCAGTCATGTATCAGTTTTTTTCCTAATTATCTTGAAATTCTGGATTTACGATGAGAGAAATTGTCCGTTTTCTCTTGTTCTTCACAGCTTTGATCGTCTCCCGTCCTCCGCCTCCTCCTCCTTTTCTCAAACGGCGTACCCGAACTTGCTGTCGTACTGTACCGGGGTGTAGACTTGGTTTTTGCTGGACGGGGGGTCGGAGGTCACGTCGTCGGACCAGCTGAGCTCCGTGCCCCCCAGAGGGTCATAGGTCACGTGGTGCTGGGAGGGGCCGCTGCTCCTGGTGGTCCTGCGGCTGACGGGTCGGCTCTCCGGAGGGGGGACGTCCTCTCTGCAAAAGAAAATATGAGGATAATGAAGACGGAGACAATAGACCTAAAAATAGTTCCAGAAGTGAAAAATGTTGATGATGAAAATGCACGAGGACTTTTGGCAGTGGTTTTATTTGTGTGCTTTTATTTTGAAATTGTTTATAAGTGTGCCTTGTGGTTTTACTTCCTGTTTTTAATGATCTCTTTTTGTCCTGGTCTGGTTTAGTCCTGGTCTAGACCTGGTCTAGTCCTGGTTCATTCCTGGTCTAGTCCTGGTTTAGTCCTGGTCTAGTCCTGGTCTGGTTTAGTCCTGGTTTAGTCCTGATTTAGTCATCGTTTGGTTTAGTCCTGGTCTAGTCCTGGTTTAGTCCTGGTCTAGTCCTGATTCATTCCTAGTCTAGTCCTGGTCTGGTTTAGTCCTGGCCTAGTCCTGTTCTGGTTTAGTCCTCGTCTAGTCCTGGTCTGGTTTAGTCCTAGTTTAGTCCTGGTTTAGCCCTGTCTTAATCCTCATCTGGTTTAGTCCTAGTCTAGTCTTGGTCTAGTCCTGGTTCATTCCTGGTCTAGTTCTGTAAAAGTCCTGGTCTAGTCCTGATCTGGTTTAGTCCTGGTTTAGTTCTGGTCTAGTCCTGGTTCATTCCTAGTCTAGTCCAGGTCTGGTTTAGCCCTGGCCTAGTCCTCATCTGGTTTAGTCTTGGTCTAGTCTTGGTCTAGTCCTGATCTTGTTTACTCCAGGTCTAATCCTGTTCGAGTCCTGGTGTGGTCTGGTGGTGGTCTGGTGAAATCCTGGTCTAGTCCTGGTCTGGCTTAGTCCTGGTCTAGTCCTGTTCTGCTTCAGTCCAGGTTTAGTCCTCATCTGTTTTAGTCCTGGTCTAGTCCTGCTGGTTTCGTCCTTGTCTAGTCCTGGTGTAGTCCTGGTTTATTCCTGGTGTAGTCCTGGTCAAATCCTGTTCTGGTTTAGTTCTGGTCAGAATTAGTCCTAGTTTAGTCCTGTAGAAGCCTTGGCCTGGTTTAGTCCAGGTCTAGTCATCATCTGGTTTAGTCCTGGTCTAGTCCTGGTCTAGTTTAGTCCTTATCTGATTTAGTCCTGGTCTGGTTTAGTCCTGGTTTAGTCCAGGTTTAGTCCAGGTTTAGTCGTCATCTGGTTTAGTCCTGGTTTAGTCCAGGTTTAGTCGTCATCTGGTTTAGTCCTGGTCTAGTCCTGGTCTAGTTTAGTTCAATCTAATCCTGTAGAAGTCCTGGTCTGCTTCATTCCTGATGTAGTCCTGGTGTAGTCCTGGTCTGGTTTAGTCCTGGCCTAGTCCTGTTCTCGTCTAGACCTGTTTTGGTTTAGTCCTGGTCTAGCGTTGGTCTGGTTTAGTCCTGGTTTAGTCTTAATCTGGTTTAGTCCTGGTCTTGTCCTGGTCTGGTTTAGTCTTCATGTTGTTTAGTCTTGGTCTAGTCCTCGTCTGGGTTAGTCTTGGTCTAGTCCTCGTCTGGGTTAGTCTTGGTCTAGTCCTCGTCTGGGTTAGTCCTGGTCTAGTCCTGGCCTAGTCCTGGTTTAATCCTGGTCTAATCCTGCAGAAATCCTGGTCTGATCTGGTTTAGTCCGGGTTAGATTCTGTAATTCTCTGTATTTCTTGAGTATATCCCATCTGTTACTGACTGTATGTGAATTGCGCTGCGTTTCTTTGGACTCGTGTGTGTTTGTTCGCAGTTTCACAGTGGTAGATTTAATAACCTTTCAGACGTTGCTGCTTCTTCTTCGTCTCAGTATTGGCTAATCTCTAATAACGTTGCCTAAGAATGTTTCCACGCTCTTCAAAGTGAATAAAGACTCTTAATGGGATGAACCGGGTGGGCAAATGTCAGCGTCAGGGTAATTGAATTTAGCTGGAAAATGCTTGGGAGATTTTCGAGTTTCGGAAAGCGTCTCGTCTCGTGATTATATGTGAAGAAAGGGTCCGCGCTTCAGGAGGAAACGTTCAAGTATCGGGGTCGTGCGGAGTGGGAATAAACGACGGGGATCGAAATGAAAAGGGATGAAGACTAAACACGGAGGCAACAGGTGATAGAAGTGGACGCGGTTAAGATAAGTCGAGGAGTTTACACGCAACGTCTGTGTGGAAGCGAGGAGATCGTCAGGACTAAACCAGAACTGGACCAGGACTGAACCAGGACTGAACCAGGACTAAACCAGAGCTGAACCAGGACTGGACCAGGACTGAACCAGGATGAAACCAGGACTAAACCAGGACTAAACCATGACTGAACCAGGACTAAACCAGGACTGGACCAGGACTAAACCAATACTAAACCAGGACTGAAGCAGGACTAAACCAAAACTGAACCAGGACTAAACCAGGACTGAACCAGAACTGAATCAGGACTAAACCAGGACAAAACCAAGACTAAACCAGGACTGAACCAGGACAAAACCAGAACTGAACCAGGACTAAACCAGGACTAAACCAGGACTGAACCAGGACTAAACCAGAACTGAACCAGGACTAAACCAGAACTGAACCAGGATTAAACCAGGACTAAACCAGGACTAAACCAGGACTAAACCAGGACTAAACCAGAACTGAACCAGGACTAAACCAGAACTTAACCAGGACTAAACCAGGTCTAAACCAGGACTTAACCAGGACTAAACCAGGACTTAACCAGGACTAAACCAGGACTTAACCAGGACTAAACCAGGACTGAACAAGGACTAAACCAGGACTGGACCAGGACTGGAGCAAGACTAAACCAGAACTGAACCAGGATTAAACCAGGACTAAACCAGAACTGAACCAGGACTAAACCAGGACTAAACCAGGACTGAACCAGGACTAAACCAGAACTGAACCAGGACTGAACCAGGACTAAACAAGGATTGAACCAGGACTAAACCAGAACTGAACCAGGACTAAACAAGGATTGAACCAGGACTAAACCAGAACTGAACCAGGATTAAACCAGGACTAAACCAGGACTAAACCAGGACTAAACCAGAACTGAACCAGGACTAAACCAGGTCTAAACCAGGACTTAACCAGGACTAAACCAGGACTTAACCAGGACTAAACCAGGACTGAACAAGGACTAAACCAGGACTGGACCAGGACTGTTCCAGCTGGGCCAAGCTGAAGATTGAGACGGAGCCCCTCACCCAGAGTCTCAACCCGGTCACCTCCGCCCCGCCTCGTACATCATCAATAAAACTTCTTTGTCGTTCTTGGTGTGGTCCTTGCTAGTGAATATTTCTTACGCTGAGAGTGGGATTTGAACCCCCAACTGTAGACAAACAGGACAAACACTCAACTGACTGAGCTACCCAGCTACTGCTCACTATCATTTTAGTTACTTTTACATATTTTAATTTTATTTTTTCTTTCCTTGCCGTATATTTATTTTGCTTCAGCCGGATCTGCTACTGCATTTCCCTGATTGGCTAATCCACTTGTCAATCGCCGCCCCCTGAACTCCGACCTGCCAGAGGTGGGACCAAGTCATCGTTTTGCAAGTCTCAAGTAAGTCTCAAGTCTTTGACCTCAAGTCTGAGTCAAGTCCTAAGTCAAATACAGACAAGTCCAAGTCGAGTCTCGAGTCACTGGCCCATAAGTCCAAGTCAAGTCCAAGTCGTCTGCTTTGAGCTTCAAGTATTTTCAAGTCTTTAAACCAAAACACCAAATACAGTTTAGATTTTTGCAATTTATGACTTTTAAGATAAATTGTACTTAAAAAATCATAGTATATTTACATGTGAGTATTTATAGTATATGTAAGAGTTGTAGAAATGCTTTTTTTTTTCTTTTTAAAAGCCTGGACAAGATCTTAGTGTGACTCATTATAGTCAGAACAGAAAGAATTCAGATTTAAAAGTTATTCTCAAGTCTTCTCAAGTCACACTCAAGTCTGAGTCAAGTCCCAAGTCACTGACCTTCATTTCCAAGTCAAGTCCCAAATCTTAGTCCATTTTATCAAGTCAAGTCTCAAGTCCTAAAAATAGTGACTCAAGTCTGACTCGAGTCCAAGTCACGACTTGCAAGTCCCCATCACTACCACCTGGTAAGTTTTTGCTTCTATGTCACAAAAACCACATGACCTGGTGTTTATGCCGCCATATTGGAGGTCAAACTGTCCATCTAGACCAGTGGTGCCCAATACGTCGATCGAGATCTACCAGTCGATCTCCAAGCTCGTGTGGGTAGATCGCAGTGTCGTAGGACTCGTCTCGGACTCGATCGCGTTTGGACTCGGTCTAGTCTCTCACTCCAGGTCTGACACTCAACAAGTGTGATCATATTTCATTATGGCCGCTGGTGTCGGCAATAAACTTGTACCGGTGTGTGGGAGTGTGCGGGAGTGTGCGGGAGTGTGCGGGAGTGTGCGGGAGTGTGCGGGGCTGTGTGGGAGTGTGCGGGGCTGTGTGGGAGTGTGTGGGAGTGTGCGGGGGCATCTCTCTGTAGCCTGTGCGTTCATTTGAACCCGTGGATAATGTGCGGCACATCACAAACTCACACACTCCCTGCGCGTGCCTTGTCCACAACAGCGTGTGTCTTCGTGTGTCTTCGTGTGTCTTCGTGTGTCTTCGTGTGTCTTCGTGTGTCTTCGTGTGTCCTCGTGTACCAGCGTGTATCACAGGAGAGGTTCAACTTTTTCAAACATCTTGTCTGTTCATCTGTGTCACGTCAGCGCGCCGCTCCTCACCTTTTCACTCTCCCTCTTCTCCCCGTGTACAGCACACAGACTCCTCCTCAATGCGCTGATTAGAACAAGACGAAATGCGAAGCAAAAACTAATCTAAATGTATGTTCCAGTGTTGGCACAGAGGAGCCTACAGCACAGAACAGAACTACTGCGACATGTGGCTGAAGTTTGCCTAATAAAAGTTCACAAATGCATCTGTGTTTGTCACGATGTGCGTTTGGTTTGATAATGTGTAGAGGTAAATACCATTGCAGAAGCAGAAAAAGAATGTAACTGCAGTTAGACACTTGAAAAAAACAGGTTTAAAAATCCTACCCACTTCATTTTTTTCACAGTTTTGTGT